AGTTTCCTGGGCTGGTGGAGATTCCCCGTGTAGTTCTATGTTATGCCCTTGAGGTGAGGAGAGCAGAGAGGATAGCGCATAATTAGTGCTCAGGTTGAGAGGTTGTGGGTATAGAGAGGAAGCCCCACCTCCGAAAGAGAGGGACCTGGAGCAATCGAGATTTACCCTGTTGTTAGCTGAGCCTCTGGTGGGAGGAGTGGAGAGAACCTGGGTTCAAGTTAGTGAGAGGGACTATGGGTGTCTGAGGAAGCCTCACCCTGCTACTGGGTCCCAGAACAGTCTCGAAAAGCCTCTGTTGCCTTCTCTGCACCTCACAATGCAAAATTGTCAAGCATGAGCCCCCTTTTGGTCTCTGTGGGAGCTGAGAGGATATGAGAGCCTTGTTCTGAGATGTGACCCAAGGTGGGAGGAGCAGGGAAGGTCTGGGCTCAGTTAGGTCCAGATAAGGGGTGGGAGAGAGGGGCTGGGGAAGCCTTACCTCAGAGAGAGGTTTGCAGAATAATCTAACAAGACCTCTGTTGCATGCCCTATACCACGTGATGCAGAATTTCTAGGCGAGGGCCAGGTTTTGCCTCACTAGACCCTGACAGAGTCAGATCCTTGTTATGAGGTCCGTGCTTCAGGTGGCAAAAGCAGAGCCGGCCTGGGCTCAGTTAGCGTCAGGCCCTACCCCAAGTCAAAGTGAGCAATGAAGCAGGACTGAGTATCCAGGACCCATGACAGTTGGAACCCAGTGTCCCTATGCTTTCCCTCTGAAGTGTGTCTTGCATTCTTGCCTGAAATCTGCGGGAGGATTCTGGGCCACCTAGGGGTGGGGCTCTTTGAAAGCCTCAGGACTTAAAGGGAGGACAATTAAGGGAACCTTCCATGCTAGACTGGAGGGTGACCTCCACCTTGCTGTCAGCACTGGTAGGCACAGTGCACCTTTCTGCCTGGCTCTTGATGTCAGGAAAGAGTGGGATTGGTCTGCGGAGTGTGGCATCAGTGAAACAGATCCAAGACATGGGAAACATGCCCCTGCTTTGGGGTGTCCTCAGGCAGGACAGAGACGAAGAGTCACCTCCATACACACCAGCTTCCACATTTGAGGCCACAGGGAAATGGTGGCATTGGATTGTGAGATGCATGCTAGGTCAGCAGAGGGGAAGTTTGAATCCATGGTCATGCTCCAGAGAAAGGAGGGCTTCTCTATCCTTGCTGTGCTGTCCAACCCTGAGGAAAGCCCATGCAGTTGTGGGCAGAAGTGCTGCATCTCATTTCTGTTTGCTTGAGCTCAGGGATGTCACATATTTGTGCACTGGGTCACTAGGTCAGCGGAGCAGCCACTCCTGGTCCGCAGACAGAGGAGGCCAGAACCTGCAAGCTGTCAAGGTGAAGAACTTGGGTGAGAACTGAAGGTATGTAAGTATTTGACACACCCCAAAAGAAAGGAGTCCATAGAGCCTGGTATGCAGTGTTACCACTCTGGAGGCCTTAGGGATACCACACACTGCCTGGAGTCTATCTCAGGGCAGAAAATACCCCATTTCCTGATGTATGGAACCTCAACCTCAACCTGTCTCTACTGTCAACTTATGGGAAGACTCAGGGACCCTGGATAAACTCTCTTGCCCTTACTTTGTCTTTGCATGCTGGTCTCAACTTCTCTCTCTCCCCAGTTCCTTGAGTCCCCATCGCCAAGCTCCTGCCTGAGGTCACATATCACAGCCATCATGTCTGCATCTTCAAAGCCTTACCAACTTGAGGAAGACCGCGAGGACCAAAGTGAGATACAGGGCTTGGAGGGTGGGCAGAGTTTCAATGCTGTGTAGCAAGAAGTCACCTCTTTCACTCCCTTCCATTTCTTCTCCTCCTCATCCGCATCTTTCTTCTGTTATCTGATCCTAGGCACCATAGAGGAGATTTCTGCTGCTGGAATGCTGGATCCTCCTCAGTGTCCTGAGAGAGGCTCCCTTCCCTCCAACGCCGTGGCTGCCTCCCCATTGAGCGAATCCCATCTGGGCTCCAGCAGTGAAGAAGGGCAAGGTTCATTCCCCTTGTTGGCCTTGCCTGAGACTACGTCCTTGGGTAGTGATGTCTTAGATGATAAGGTGGCTGAATTGATGGAGTTCCTGTCCCTTAAGTACCTACTTAAGGAGCCAACCACCAGAGCAGAAATGCAGATGATTGTTACCAAAGATTATGAGGAGCACTTCCCTGTGATATTTGGGGAAGCTTCTAAGTGTATGCAGCTGGTCTTTGGCATTGATATAGAGGAAGTGGGCCCTAACAGCCACTTCTATGTTCTTACTCCTTCTCTTGGCCTCACCTATGATGGGATGGTGAATGATGAACAGAACCACCCCAGGACCATCGTCCTGATAATCATCCTGAGTGTCATATTTATTCAGGGCAACCGTGCCAGAGAGGAAGCCATCTGGGAAGTGCTGAGTGGCATGGGGTTGTATCCTGGGAGTGAGCACTGCATATATGGGGAGCCCAGGAAATTCCTCACCGAGGATTTGGTGCAGGAACAGTATGTAGCATGTGTAGAGGTGCCAAACAGTGATCCTCCTCAGTATGAGTTCTTATGGGGTCCAAGGGCCCATGCTGAAACCAGTGTGGAAGAAGTCCTGGAATTTTTGGGCAAGCTGAAAGATAGCAAACTTAGGATCTTGCCCGACTGTCAGGAGGAGTGTTCAGAAGATGAAGAGGGAGTCCCAGAGTTAGTTCCAAAAGAAGAGTGATGACTAGGGCCAAGGCCAGGGACAGGGCACATACCAAGGCAACTTCTCCTGTCCCATGTAATTTTTTTTTTTTTTTTTTTTTTTTTTGGTTTTTCTCTGGTACCAGGAACCAAACTCACGAGCTTGCACTTGCCAGGCAAGCGCTTTGCCGCTGAGCTAAATCCCCAGCCCCCCATGTAATTTCTGATACTTAAATTTTATTGATGAAAAGAGCAGTCACTTTTCTAAATAATGCAGATTCAGTATGGGGATTTGGTAAGCTCAGTATATAAACTTTGCATTTTTGTTCTATGTCTGTGACTTGAACATTGTGTTAATAGTTTTCATATAGTGTTCCTTTTAATAGAAGGCTTAATTAACTTCACGTTGTGCATTTTGATATCACTGGTTACAGACCTATTGATGTTTATACATTCTAAGAGTTCAGCTGTTTTCTAAAGCAAATTGTAAAATCTTGTATCCTGTTTTGTGATCTGGAGCAAGGTAACCCATCTTTGAAATAAAAGCTTTCTTGAAAATGTACAAGAAGTCATGAGTAAAATAGATGAGGTCAATAAATACAGAAAAAAGTTCAAAACAATATTGACTTTCATGTATTACTTTTAGTTGTCTTTCTGTAAAATTAAAAATATTTATAAGCCTCTGTAGTACATGCTTGGTTAGTTTAAAATGTTGGATAAATTTACTCCTAATGAAGAACCCCAGCTGCTCACAGGACATTGCCCTTAGACCTTTGAGCAGATGCTTTTTGGAAGGCCCTATGTTAGTGGTGCAGACATGGGTAAACTAGGGAAGTGGGACCCACTCTTGCCCACAGGATGGTGGAGCCAGGGCCCTTTCCGCACATCGCAGGGAATGGAGAGATGTCCTCAAGGGCTTACAGAGCAAGGAAAAGGTCAGAGGGGGGTTGCAGAGGAATGGCGAATGCTTGTGGTAGCTTAGGGCTTAGGGAAAATGCAGTTCATTCCTTTTTTTTTTTTTTTTTTAATGCAGGACCTTGTATGTACCAGGCAGGCACTTGTGCCAGTGAGCTATATCCCCAGCCCCTTCAGTTCCTTCTTGAGATTAATTTTACTGCATGGTTGGCAAGGCCAGACACTCAGATGAAGGATCTTGGGGCTGAAATTTAAAACTTCTCTGAGCAGTTCTGCTTGCTTCATTGATAAGGCAGAGAGGAATGTCCACCTGGGTCAGGTATTGGATGTGGCCTGAGCTCTTGTTGTGGTGCAGCTGGATATAAGGACTAGGTGATTTGTAACCATCATCTGCAAGGATTTGCTGGCACGTAGGGCAGATTTCTTTGAAGTTGTGCCCAGAAAGCACCAGACTGACATACTTTCCCGGCCTGGGAGCGAGAGGAAAGTGCACTAGAGTCTCACACTTCTGTTACCTTCAGTGGAATTGGCATAACGCTGAACAAGGGCTAGTTTTGGGGTGGGACGAATACAGTGGTTTGAGAGAAAGCAGCTGCTAGAGAAAGAAGCAGCTGGTCCGTCTCTCACATTCTAGGTACGTCGTGGTGCATCCATTCGGAAAGATGACTCCATGCCCAGATTCTGTAATATGTCTTCAGAGGGAGGAGCTACTGAACCTTACTCATGAAAAACCCCATTTTGGCCAATTAGGACTTCCACAGCCTGTAAAGCTGCATATCCCCTGATACGTCCTGGAGAGCAATGGCAGTAAGAACAGCACCCCGAGTGCTAGGGTTGGGATCAAATCCTGTTAGAGATGGCAGCCACCTGCCATTCAATGTGGTCACAACTCACGCCAGTCCCAGGGCTGGGTGCTTTACACACAGGACACAGCTTCCTGCAGTGCTTGTGGACAGGCCTGGTCACACTTCCTTCACATATGAAGAGCTCCAGCCTCCCAGGGCTGGGAATTTCCCAGAGTGGCTGGCTGGTAAGTGACAGGGATGCATAAGTACATCTGGAAGCCAGCACTGATCTTCCACCTCAGGTCCAAATTGCTGATTTACAAATCATTTCTCAGCACAGGTTAATGTCTCTCTTGACAACGGAAAGAAGGATGGCGTGGGAGGCCAGTGCTACAGGAGCAAACCTAGAGAGATAACAGAGTCAAACACAGGTGGGGAGGGCCAAGGATATAGCTCAGTGGCACAGCACCTGCCTAGCAAGGACGAGGTCATGAGTTCAATTCCTGGAAACCCAAAAATCAAAAACAAAAACAAACTAATACAGGTGGGGCAATGTCTGTTCTGAAAGCAAACTGACTCAGGTACTTTTCTCATGGCTGAGTTTAAATACTCAACATCCAAGTGAACATCCAAAAGGTTCATCTTGGCACACAGTCTGTAGAGGTTTGAGGGTAAAATTGGCTGGCTCCAAGGCAGGGTAGCTTGGCAGAGGGGCCTCACAGAGGAGAAACGTTCATGGCAGGCAGAAGGCATCAAAAGCAGCAAGCAGCGATAGCAGCTTTCTGTCCCCTATATTTTGTCTGGGCCCGTGGCCATAGGGTGGGTAAAACTCACAGCCAGGGGTGGTCATTCCCGTTATCTACACCCAGACCTATGCCAAAGGATTCAGTGGACAAATTTAGTAACCACACACCCTTAGTTACACCATCACACCCTTAATTCCATCATCACACACTCTAGATCCAGCCACCTCTGAACAGCCACAGCTACGACTGCATGAGGCTTTGGAGGGACATCTCGACACAAGCCATAACACCAACTATGCCCAGTTGTGGATATTTCTGTCCAGCGCAAGCGCTTTCCCACTATACAAACCTCTTCCCTGCTATCCCCCATGTGCTGTCCCTTCCAGCTCTGGCACCTGGCTTGATCATCAGCCCTTCCCTGCTGCCCCCTCTTGAGGACACATCGAATTCCCTGTCCTCCCCATGGCGCTTGTCTCATGAGTTCCTGGCTGTCCTCAGCTCACCCACTCTCCTTTGATAGGCACGACCCTTGGTCACAGAAGTGCACTCAGGACTGTTATGTTAGATACCTCGTTATCCCTACCTAGGAGCCATCACATTTTTTATTTTCCCTATGGGCTGTGAGGAGACTTCCTCTTGGTTGTCATTTTACTATCTCACTGCGCTCTTGGCCTGTAATGCTCAGGGTGGAGGGAAGATTTTTAAGACTACTCCTTATAATAGGATTTTATTAAGCATAGTATTAGAAGCTGGAAAATGAACACCTAAACACATGGATAGGTTTGCTTTGGGGTCAGCACCTAAAGCTCCCTCATCAGTGGTAGACGAGGAACGACCGTTTCCTGAAGCCAAATTTCTAGAGACTACACAGTCCTCCTCGGAGGTGAGAAGTGGTTCCTTCACAGACATTCTGGTCCAGTGAGAAGAGAAAAGGTCATCTGCCGCCTTTCCTGTGCCTCCTGTCTGGCGCCTGCTTGTCAGAAGACGCGGGCTTTCAGGGTGACGGATGCACCTGTGCAGGTGCTGGGGTCGGAGCGGTCCTGTGGAGGGGAACAGAGAGCCACAGGTTAAGGCTTCGGGCCTGCACCCAATGGGAGGAGAAAACCCCGTTCTGAGCAGTCAGAATGTTTTGCAAAGGGAAGTGCAGGAAACCGCTGTGGCGGAAGTAGTTGACCCCTCTCTGCTCGCTTTCACATGGTCCTCTTCAAATCAGATGGGACAGTGCGGGATTTAAAAGCATGTGTCACTGTGTAGGCACGTAAGACTTCAGAGAACTTGAAGGCAAACCGGTCTACTCAGGAACATCTCCAAGATATGAGGAGCGATGTTGCCTCACAAAGGACACAGTTGCTTTTTGCTGAGTACCTACTCTGTGACGACTCACGGGGAAACAGTACAAGTAGCCATCCACGTGTCGTCCTGTCCCTCCTAGGCAGAGGGGAACCTGACCGCCCCCCTGTCACTACAAAGAGGCACGTGACATTTCTTTCCCGGTGAAAGGTGTAGGAAGTGTCACATCCAGGCATTTGCGAGCCACTGTGCATCCCTGTGATTTCCCTCCTTTCCAGCAAATAGGCAGGTCTGCGTTGACGAGGGACCCCAGGATGGAAGCGGCCAGGATGCCTGCAGCTCCTGAAGGCAGAGAGTGCCTGCAGAACCACATCAGAATTTATTTACACAGAAAACTAACTTTCATGATGTGAAGCTGCTCAAATTCTAGATTTGGTCTCTTGTATAAGGTAGCAGTTAGTTTAAATTATATACAGCTAGCATTTCTGCTGTTACACTTATTGATATACGTTAACTGCAAAGATACAATGCATTTGTTTCTGTTGCAAAACAAATCTAACAATACAGGTATAATTTCCTCTTTCCAAAGGTTCTTACCTCTTCAGAGATCACTGAGCTTAGTCTAGTACATGTTATTTTAAAGTGTACTTGAGAATCTTTTCATATACAGATGTGCTAATAAGTTATATTGGTCATATTAACATACATGGGTGTGATGTTAACCTTAATCATGGCATTTTGATTGGCTTGGGGGCCACCTAGGAAAGCACTCTCCTGGGTATGTGTTGGTGTCAGGTATTTTGTCCAAGCAATGGTGAGCTAACTAATACAATTGGTAATGATGTATGTGTTAATCTACAGCTTCCTGTAACACTAAATACAGTGGAATCAGAATCTTCCTATGACAGCATACTACTCTGCAGAATTCTAAAGCATCCTTGTGCCACTAATGAACCATTTTCCTTGTGGACACCAATTATACTCCATTTTTTTGGTTAGAATTGAAGTCAACATTTTGTAGACAAAGTCTGCAAAGCTACATCTGTTCTACTAAGAAGGTAGCAACAGAGACATTGAATTGCAGTGAAATTGATGGGTATAGTTTTTATAAATACTGCAAACATTTTATTTAAATATGCTATACTACTTTGCATACTCATAAAAATTGCAGATAATCTGAAATTCTGAAATGTCAACAGAATATTTCTCTTTTTCATTTAAGGAGATAGAAATTCTGTAAAACTATCCAGGATCTAGGAGACGAAAGCACACAGGATATCCTCATGAAGAAAGGGATATTGGAACCAGCCATAGTGACACACCATGGTAATCCCAGCACTTGGG